CTTTATGTGGACATGAGGAGGGTTGTAGAGGGGTTTGGGACTATGGAATTGTCCCAAAAGGTCTAGGCATCGGCTAATAAGGGGCCAGAAAATGGAGAAATTTGATGAATGTATAGATCAGAGAGACGGGAACTGATGAATCCAGATTGAGGTTAGGGCTAAACGTAAGCCAATACCACGAGTTTGTGAAAGTGATGCTTGTAATCATGGATTATGATAGCGGTGATTAAGGATCTCTACATCAAAAGGAAGTTTTAAATTATTCTAATGAATCAAGAAAACACGAGGTGGATCGAAGAGCGTAAAGAATTTTAAAAATGTAGTAAAAGTTACTGAGAAAAAAAAAGCGAGAGAGGAGATGCTTGAAGATGTTTTAAAATGAAGTAAGCTAGATGATGCATTAGTGAAGAAGCGATTGATGGATTCTAAATAATCAATGGGACCGAGATGAGTAAGGGACCAGAGTTTAGTTGTAGAAGTTATGGATGAACGAGATGTACATATATTGAACTCTTGCAAATATTCAGAAAAATCTGAATGAGTAGGGTTGAAAATCATGATTTTTGTTGTTGGTTGCCATGAAATTCATCATGCATAAAGATTTAGTATAATCTCATAAAAGCTTTTTTTCTAAAATTAATATTTTCATATATATAAAATTTAAAAATTCTTTGAAAAGAAGGAGGCGATCTTTTTTTAATGAGGTAGAAGGATATATACTTAAGATCGTTCATATTCATGTGGCCAAAATTCTCTTGGCATATGTGGAAGATTACTTGGGATTAGGAACATTTAATAGGAGTCGTGCTTAAATCGTTATTACCGGATACCCTTTGTTATAGTCATATGTCTCGGTATACTTACGTAAGTCATGTGACATCTCAGCGGTTACTTCTATGAAAATACTGATTTCGTTAAAAGGTAGGTAGGTATCTACTAACTGCCATCTTGGGGAGGCTTGCATATAAAGTCAAAAGGAGCCTATGCCATCGTATATGCTAAGCTAAAACTTCGAGAAATATAGTGGCGATTAAAGCGCATTAAAAATATTATAAATATACTTACTCTTATCTAATTCTAAAATTATTTACCTTCAAAATAATATGATTTATTGGGGAAAAAAATCCAAAAGATTAAGTCCCTAAAAGGGAAATTTCTTTAATACAAAAAGAGCAGAAAAATATATAAAGGGTTCCTTTCGAGTGTATCTAGATAAAGGTCCTAAAAAGGCATATATACCAGATTTACTTTAGCAAGTACATTTTCGATAAAAATTTTCTATTATAAAAATCATGTACGTGTGTATAATGATGACAGAATTGGTAATACAGTAAAAAATCTTTTCATTAAAGCAGTGAAAAGTTATGTTAGGGTAATCTATAAATATAATGAAATCAAATCCTGTACCAATTTTAAAAATTCGCAATTTGATGGGTGTCATAATTTGTACCTTTGTTTATCCATATTCTTTAAAGAGTGTTAAAAAAACAAGGAGCCTGAGACAGATACCATCGTAGAGAGAGATTGTTTGATAATGGATAAACATAGGCTATATCATCTAACTTGACTACCGAGGACTCGTTCCCTTCTATGCATATGAGCGGGAAAGGGGAGGGAGAAGGCGGTTTATTTGATTCCATATATTTAGGGGGAGGGGTAGGGCTTAAAAAGTATTTTGAGAGTTATGTAAAACCCGGGAATTTAAGTCTTAAGAAATTTTCCAAGGGAAAATAAGGGAAAAATGAGAATATAGGTGATAAAATGTAAATAGGCGAGAAAATTGAGAAATAAGAAATAAAATACTCAAAGTATTTTATTCTATAAAAAAATAAATATACACAATATACGTCAAACAGTAAGGAATTTGTATTATTAAAATATTGATAAGATAAAATGGTTAAAAATAATTTATAGAATCAGAAATACATTTACTCTATATCTTCAATGGTTGTTCCCATTTTATTAGACTCTGGGAGAATTTTATCATGTAGATGCTAACTATAACCATTGGCGTACGCAGGGGGGGCAGGGGACATCCCCTCCCCCCCCCCCCTCCCAAAGCCAAAAAATGCAGATGCCGGATATATTTTTCAAAAATATTAATTTATAACTGTTAATATTTATTCCTATCTCATATTAAATGTATATTTAATTACATTTATTTATCACATTCATCTATTAAGTTATTTTATCAATTAATTTCAATTTCAAGTTTTTATTGGTGTAATATTTACCTATTATTTTCAAATTTCTAGTGGCGTAATATTTATCTACCATTTTCATATTTCTAGTCAAATAATAATTTTTCTGAAACTCCTTGTCCAACAGGGAGAAAGAAAGTGCAAGCTTGTCCAACGAGATGGAGTCTCCGCCATCAAGCAGTAACAGCTTCTATGGAGTTAGAAGAACCAATTATTAATGCAATTACTGAAATATCAGAATGGCCTGAAAGAAATATTTACTTAGAAGCAAAAAAATTATTGGATTTAATACTTATTTCAATTTTTTTTCTCATTAGAATGTATTTTTTAATTATACAACTATTTTATGTATTACTTTCAAAAACATGGCATTGACTTGATTAAGAAGATGAGAATAGCGGAGAGCATTTTATTAGAACTCAAGGAAATTAGGGCTAATGTTGATAAAGAATTTCAATTTTATATGTTAATGTTGAGTCAAAATGAGAACTATACGTGTTTAATATTTGTCTCACTCGATTTGCAGCAAGGCAAGCTCATCGTCAAAACATTAATATAAGATCAGTAGAAAAGTATTATAAAACTATAATCCAAATAAATGAATGGTTTTTAATTCATCATGCAGCACTTACCAATCTGCAGATATTACTTCCATAAAAGCCTTCCCAATCTTTTTCAGATGGTGATAGAAAAAAAATAATATTTGTTTGATGCCTTATTAGCTGAATAACTATGTTTAAAAGATTAACTAAGATATAGTCCCAAAAAATGCTATGGATGCTTTCTATAATTTCAAACACATTTTAGATTTTGTTCCCAATGTATTAAAATGATTATATATATATTAGCAACTCTTCCCATTAGTAAACTAATGAGAGAACATTCTCTTTTTTAAGAAGAATAACAGAGCCCTGCAGAGATACAATTTGCAGGGCACGGCCTAGATTTTTTTTCAAAATTTTTTTTCGGCCCGGCCCGGGTTTTTTTTAAAAAAAATTTTCAAGCTTGGCCCGGCTTTTTTTAAATTAAATTTTTCAGGCCCGGCCCGGATATTTTTAAATAAATTATATTTATTTTTGATTTTTATAGCTAATTTCAAATATTTGGTTTTAAAATATAAAGCCGGGCCCGGATAATTTTTTTTTAAAAAAAACAGGCCCAGCCCGGGTGTAAAAAAATTTTGGGCCCTGTCCGCGTGTATTTAAAAAATTAAAATACGGTCTGGCCCGGGAACCGGGCCTGCAGTTCTCTGAAAACATACCTAAGAAGTACAACTTCTGAAAGTGGATTGAATGGTTTGGATCTTTTAAATATTTATAGGCATTTGACGCCAAGCAAGGATGAGTAATTGAAAAATTAGCTCAATCCCAACGAAGATTGGATTTTACATTGTAAATATAATACAAAATACAATTATTCCTAAAAAACTTTTTGTGTATTAATATTTATATTTCCAACATTAAAATTTTTTACTTTATATATAAATTTTAAAGGCTCAAAAAATTCAAATTTCTATTTTGGGTCATTTAAGTGATTCATATGGTGGTTATATTCATTTTATATTTTTTAATTCACATTTATTTTATAGTTTTTTATGTGCCGGTTTATACTTATAGTTTTTTTATAAGATGTAATGGGAATGAGAGGTAATGTTTAGTCACAAGCCATATATTATCATACTAGGAAAAATTTATTTAAAAGTTGGCCGAAGATCAAAATGAACAGATAAAAATGGTAAAAAAAATTAAAATAAATTACAATATATTTATAAAAACTAAATGGGGAATATTCTCAGGGGAAATACATTTCCCGGAAAAATGAACGGGTATTTACCATATGCTTACATCACTAGTAGGAAAATATAGACATGTTTCCCTCACGAAGACGCTGTATCTATTCAGATCAAATATGACGAACCCTTTTAGATCTTTCTTCCACCGATCCTCCTGCTGCCCCTTAGAGACTCTGAAGGAGATTACAGGCGTCATTAATGAAGATAATATTTTAAATTATGATCCAACTCAAGGAAACTGCCTTACTACATCTGATTTATATAAATTTCTGTTATTTATAATCCCTGTCAGATTTGACAAGTTATTAATAAAATAAATATATTTTACCCAATTAAAAAATTTCCTACAGTTAATCAGAGTGGCGCTATTATCATTATTTTATCATGAGATTTTTTAATGATACTTTTCGGTTTCTAAATCAAATTAAATAATAATAGAAAACAATTTTACACAATATAAAATAAGGTCATTCTAAAACCACTCTTTTTCACAATTTTTTTTTAATGACACATATATTTATTTCTTTTTATTGATTTCCTATCGTAAAAAAATGAGAATAATATTTATTATTTTATTTTTAAATTCAATGAAACCTTAATTTCCAGGCTTCCCTATCAAATTCTCATTGAAAATGAGTATATAATAGTTGTATATTATATGGACCAGCACTCCATGCTACCAAAAGGTAAAACCTTTTGTATGATCCCTACTCATCTTATGGAGGTTTTATTAAGTAATATAAAAAATTTAGGTATTTAATTTATCCACCAATTGATTTTTTTGCAGCCATTTTTCCGTAGCATCACGAAAAATTGTGTAAAAATAAAATGTAATAATGATAAAAAATAATAAAGAAAAATAAAGATAAAAAAAAAGAGAAGAAGATTACACATAAACATGAAACAAGGAGAGTGAGTGAGATAATTAAATGTTAAAAAAAATTGAAAAATATTTATCGATTTTTATTCATTATATTTTTTTTGCCATACTTTTCGTATTTCGTTTAGCCTTTTTTAAAAAAATATTTTATTCCATTTCTTTTCGCAATATAACATAACATGATTAAAAAAACGGACCAAAAATTTTAATTATAATTATATAATCAAATTCATTTCATTATAAATAAATGGAAGTAAGAAAAATATATAAAATATACAAAATAAAAATAAATTTTTAAAAAAATCGTTTTTTCCGTTAAATTTTTTTCAAAACTTGTATTATTTTTTTTTCAAAAGAGGAGCCGAAACGATGGAAACGAATAAGCAAAAAATGATTAAATCTTGGTCACATAAATATCGGACATTTATCAAATATTTTACTCATGGATTCTAAAATAGTGAACATGATAGAGTAAGAAATAATAATAAATCATGGCTTGTTAGTTTTTCCTCCAAATATTTTTTCTTAAGGTTTCAGAACCATTTAAAAAAATTCGAAAAGTTTCAAAATTTTCACAAATTTTAATGAAATCGTATTTAAAATTTTTGAAATTTATGAAATTATAATATTTTACGATGTTGTTAACGCTCTTTCTTAAAAGGAGCTATCTCCCGCTCATATCATTTCAAAAGGAGCTAGCTCCCTCTACTGAGTTTTTAAAATAGGCGATTTTAACAGTATAAAATTTTCTAAATTTGAATAGTATAGCAAGCAGCCACCCCTCTAGCCTAAAACATGTTTAGCTATATTAAAAATAAAGGAAAAGAGGAGTATTGTATTTTATTATTTTTTAAATCGTTATAATTAACAAATATATTTATTGTTATTGTTTGTTTAAAAATTTTGTCTAGTATATCTTGATAATTAATTTGATGATTCCAAAAAATTCTTCTTAATTATTGGATTTGGAGGACATTTTAGGTGTAATTGTAGGTATTTTTGTCTTAGAAATTTGTTTTCTTATAAAATTAATTAATTAATTTTTTAATTCTCTATTTTTACCTGTTTATCCATTCCCAATTCAATTATGTAAAATGGATAATGGCAGCAATGATATTACGATCATAAACTGGTAAAAATCGAAAGTTATTCAAAAATAAAGTGCGTTTCATCAAAAAAAAGATAAGGAACATTTTAAATCTATAAAATCATTTACTTTCGAAGTGAGTCTAGAAATAGTTTGTGTTTAAATTAAACCACTCTCACAGTGTTGTTAAACGGCTCGGTTTGAGCCGATTTTTAAAAACGGCTAACTCAATATTTTATCCAGAATAATATTGCGCAAGCCTGAAGATTTTCTCATAGGTGGCACAAAGGTCTAGACATCAATTAGCAAAATCTCGAGGCTTAGGCAATATTTTTCTGGCTAAAATATTGAGTTAGCCGTTTTTAAAATCGGCTCAAAACGAGCCGTTTAACAACACTGCCTCTCACCTTCAAGGATCTTCAAGGTTTTTACAAAGACGCCATAACCGGATATTTATTCTCGAATAGTATTTGAAAATATCAAATATCTCCCCAATTTTTTAATTATATTATCACTCATATTTGTGGATATATTTTGTTTATTCCATAAAGACTAACACGTTCAAAATAATCTATGGGGTATAATTTTAAGTCATATATTTTCTAAAGCATTCTCCGCATCAAAAATTACCCCTAAATTTATATTGTGGTATGCACGAAGTGAATGTTTTAGTAGAAAATCATGCATTTCTGCTCTTTAATCAGTATATAATTGATATTCCACAAATTAGTAATCTTCATCCATTTTTAGAACTTTTAAAAAAAAAAATTCTTATGGGATGGAAATGGAAATTTTATTTCATCCATATATTTTCTGTATCAATAAAACAATTCTTTCATGGTTTTTATGTAAAAAAAATATAAAAACTTGGCTTAACTAACATTTAATATATTTAAATAGTTTCATAAATTTAAATAAATATATATCATTTTTATGGTATTCAACAAATACATTAATTAAGATTATTTTTTTAAACAATTTATAAAAAAAAATTGAAGGAGGAGGAGCCATCCCAAAAAAGGAGTTGGCTCCTGCTCTCGCTCCCGCGTTTTGATAAATGGTGACGCTCCAGATGTTTTTGGAAAAATTTATCACCCTTTAACAACTATGATATGGACATGTTTTTTATTTTTATATCTAAAATAGCTTATATATTTATTTTCATTAAAGTTTCGAAAATTTGTGAATTTAATTTTTTAATGTTTTGGATACAGCCTAAAATTAAAACAAATTACCAGTTCCCATTTTTGGTTAAACTTTAATAAAAGGGTTCTTTTTAAATGGCCTGCACAATAATTTTTTTGAATATTCTCCTTTTAAATTATTTTACAAGAATGACAATCGCGGCTGAGATATAGCAAAAGATTGCTGCTATGAGAAACTCATGATAATAATTTGTATCACGTTTATTTATAGAAAAAAATAGTGTTATATTTTTTATATTTGTTTAGATTATGGGCAGAGGTGTTCAAAGTTTCTCCAGATGGTCAAGGATACATGTGGGAAAAATTGTCCAATGGTTTAATATTAACTAAGATAATATCAGAATTCATGACGGATGAACAATGTATTCATATATTAGCTAAAAATGTAGACCAGCAATATATCCTAGATGTTATTCTTTCGCCTCAAAGTCATTAAAAAAAACATATATATGTTTTAAATATAACTAATAACTTGTTTATTTTTGGTTTTCATCTTCCTTTAGAAAAGCCGCACAAAGAATTATTGTTTAACAGTCACTGTTAGGCTCTTAATATTCACTATTGCTAAAAATTTAATGCCCTTTTAAAAAAATTTTATTTAGTGTTCAAAAATTTTTTTTGTTCAAATATAAAATATTTTAGGAGTTGACCAAGTAAAACTCAGTTCTTTGCAAAAAGTTATCAAAAAATTTTATTTAAAAAAATAATATATTTGATCCTTTTCGCGATTATTTAAATAATTTGGATTAAAACTATCAAAGGGAGTTAATTTTTTATAGGTTATTTAGTAACATTTTTTTAAAATCCAAAGCCTATTTTTCGTAAGCTATAAAGTTTTAAGAGATAACAGTCCAATTGGTTGCATCTAGGGTTGAAATCAGAACTTTTGGCTTATGAGAGCACTATGTGGGGGGGGGGGGTCGTTATTTTTAAAAGATTGCATATTACTCATATTCTGTGGTTTCTTTTCTCATATTTTATTAATATTAGAATTGTTATTAAACATTATATTATAAATACTATAATTTAGCTAGTGAGTTAAAACAAACATCGGATTGTTTTGTATATTGGAAGGACCAGAAAACACACGTAGTATGGGGTTTAAATTTTTCTTCTTCCTACGATTCCCAAAAATTTATGGAAAAATTTGAGGTTAGTTAGAAAAAAATTGTTGAAATTATTTATTAAATATCATTTAATTTAAAAGATCAATTTTTTTGAGATAGTGAACCATTTAGATACTTTCATGTAGAAATCAAATAGATATTTATATATTTAATTTTTATCTGGAAAGATATATCACTCGTATCCGAATCTGTTAGCCATCGTAGTCGGGTCGTAATAATTTGTCACCCACACTTGTATCATAATCATTTTTCATGCAAATTAAATAAATGATTTTTTAAATAAAATCCTTTCTTTATATAAAAAGGAACGATGTATGAAGAATTATAAAACAGCCTTAAAAAATGGATTGGCATATAAATTTATGCATTAATTTCGTTAATAATTTAATGGCATGTACTTTATCATCAGAATATTATAATAATTTTTTCTGTTTAAAATTTGATGTAATAAATTTTTAAAAATAGAATACGAATAATGCACTATTTGTTATTCTTTTTTGAATAGGCCTATTATATAAAGTGTATCCAGGGCTTTTTTTATAGGGGATAAGGGTTTGGGTGATCTTGTTAGTCATTATTTAAAAGAATATTAACCTTTTACTTATTTTATTGAAAATATTATTTGTAATCAAATATGTAACTTAATTTTTGGGAAGAGGGGCTGGTGATAAAGGAGGGGAGAAAGTGTGTGTAGTTTAAAAAAAATTAGGTTAAAATTATGAGATTTATAAAAAACAATAAAGTTTGCCAAGAGAGGGGTCTCCCTCCCCCGGTTCTTCCGCTAATGTATTAAAGTACGGAGTTTTGAAATCATAAAGGATTTATCTCTCAATTAAATCAAATAAAAAGAAAAATAACACTCTGAAAAATCATTGAAACATTAAAATATAATTTAAAGAATTTAAAATAACTATTCCTAGTTTTTGCATATATATCTTTTGCAAGTAATATAAATTTATAGATCTTTCAATAATATTGTTTTGAGGTAAAGAATACTCTTTTTTTTCCCGAAAATTTCAATAAGCAATGAATTACAAACACTGGACATTTGAATAATGGCAGAATGCCATTTAGAACAATGAATTTTAAGATTCCATGTATCTATTGGGTATAATGATATAGGGGTTATAAAGTGACCAACATTCATTCTAGCATGCCCAATGTCAAACATTCTATGCCTATATATATATTTGGAGGGGGATACTTATATTCTAAAAGATTGAGTAGACTATGTTATTTGAAAATATTGCAAACTTGTATATTGATTAACAACAAAAAAAATCATTTATTATCTTCCAATTCAAGTATGGTTAAGTATCTCATAATTTTGCGTATCGACATGAAGGGAAAGTATCAAATGGCGATTTAAAAATAGTTTCATTAATGTTTTGCAATAGTTGTAGTCTCAGATCCTGATCCAGATATAGCATATATAAGTAATAAATTAAGATCTAAAAAAAAGACCAAACATAACAAATAAAAAGAATTTTGAAAGCCAAAATTATATAAATTTCAAATAAATATCATTTGCAAGGACCTTATTTCATCGATACTCGAGAGAGTATAAGAGGCGAGGTTATTCTTTTTAGATTCAATTTTTTTAATTTAAAATTTTTTTTATGACAGAATAATTCGGACACGAGTGTAGTATGTATATAATATATAATGTGATAAAAATTAAATTTCATAATGTGATAAAAGTTAAATAATATAGTGTTATTTTTGAAAACATTTTTTTCATGAGATAAAAATCTTAAATAAAATATTAGGAAAAAAAAATTTTATAATATAAAATTTCTATTTTTTTGAAAAAATTACATTTTTATAGCATTGTAAAAAGTTAAATCGTCCTCATCATAATATAAACCATTTACACAAACACGTTTCATTGAATGACTTCGGAGGAAAATTTAAGTCGACGGCCCAAGATGTCAAATACAAAAGCGAGGCAAATTTTGCTGAGAATGATCATAAATTCGTAAAACTGTCATATTCCTCTGATATCATGACTAAAAAGGACGCGAAAACGATAGAATTACACTCTCATGATAAATGTCAATTGGCTTGTAATAATAACCTTAAATCATCTCACTATGTCCCCCTTTCTCGGAGTAAAACATTGAATTTAAATCAAACTATATTTACAAACACCGCGTACACTAATATGAAGCCCTGCGTTCACTCTAAGGAATATAAATCGGACGGTGAAGACAATCTCAGCGTGATATTTTCTACCTTGAATCCACCACCAGTGAAATCGTATTCGAATGAAAAGCTATTGATGCCGCAAAATATGAATTCAAGATATTATTCAAAAAGTTTTAATAACCAGCACATCCCTTTATTTGATCTGACTCATATATCTGGCACTAGCGACGTTAAACATTTAGCGAGCAGTAAGTCGCAAAGCTTTGTAAAGTATGAACACGCCGATAAAAATAATCTATATAATTATAACATGTTTTACGAATTTGACCATAAAAAAGATAACGGGTTTAGGGAGTACACTTTTGGCGATTCCCCTGTCAAACATAAAAGTGAAGAGACTTATTTTTCGGCTAAAATTTTGTCGGAAGACGCTGATTTTAACAGAGAAAATAGTATCTCATTGAAAACGGACCAATCATCAAATGTGACCGATACCTCGATATACAATTATAAATTACGAAAATTTAAAAACCACGATGAAATTGCGAATTCTTCAAATTTCGCGCTAGCGAGTAATAATAAATGTTTGAATACTTCATCAGATTTTAATCAAAAAGAGATCCCGATTCCTCGAAAAAACGACTATAGAAGATCACAATCTCATCATTATATATCGAAATCGGCAACCATGCCTTCTACAAGTCAGCAAGTATTTAAATGCTTATTTCTTTTAGATGTTTTTATTATTGTATATAAAATTGGAGATTATTAAAACATATATATATATTACACGTTTCTTCTTCTTTATATCGAATTTTATTAATTAATTTTATGGTTAGCTCTATCAATACGCTTTTAAAGTGTTGATTTTTTTTATTTAGACCTGTTGAAATATAATTTAGCCATTCTATAGTACACACTTTGTTAATCCATAATGTCGCTAAGGCAACTTCCAAAACTAGCCGTTTTTCCATAGCTGTTTCATAGTCATGTCTCAAGCAATTCTTTTTCATTTATAAATGATTTTTATTAACGATTAAATGGTGGCTGATTCTTTTAAATAGGCGATTGAATGTTTTCGATTTGACAAATTTACTCTGCTTTGCTTTGGAAAATTAAAGTTTCTTAAAACGTGCCTAAAAAATCGCTTTGAAAAATAAAACTTGTTTGGAATTGCCGTATGAATATAGTATAAATAAATATTTTAAAAAAGGTTAAAGGTATAAACGGATTGAAAATAAGGAAACTTTTATAGTGTATTTCGTAATTGGGTTCATAATATAGAAAACATTTTAGAATTTAGGAACGCAACTGTCTTAAATTATTTATTTACTTTTTCTGAAGAGCTTCATGATTAAATCATGAGTCACCCCAATCCACTTCTTCCAATATGATTGATTATAAAAAACATATATTAACCTAATTTCTTGATTTCGTTAAACAGAATAATTATATAATTCCAATTAATTATAATATTATATATACTATACATTAACTCAATCAATTTTGATTTACTAGCACGCATGCCCAATTTATAAATAATAATGTTGCACAATAAAATTTTAGGTTATAATCTCTTTAGCCTACGAAATAAGATTTTTTATTTATAATTTTATTTTTTTAATGGGAAAGGCTTTAATCCATCTATATTATTTGGGCAGATCAGGTTTTATTACTAATTTTGCATATAAAATGCATTTGATAAGAATCTTAGCTCTCTGAGCTGATCCGCGTTATATAGTTGTGGATAAGTTAAGGCTAAATAAAATTCATTTTAAAATTTAGAGGCTATATAACTACTCTTCTAACTCAATCCGGAATATAGAGAAAGGAGATTGTTTTTATAATTTCATAATAATATATATTTATATGTTATATTTTATAAACTTTAAAAGGTTATAATATTCAACGTTATTTGAATAATATATTTGTTATACAATAATATAACGAATAATATATTTGTTATACAATAATATAACGAATAATATATTTGTTATACAATAATATAACGAATAATATATTTGTTATACAATAATATAACGAATAATATATTTGTTATACAATAATATAACGAATAATATATTTGTTATACAATAATATAACGAATAATATATTTGTTATACAATAATATAACGAATAATATATTTGTTATACAATAATATAACGAATAATATATTTGTTATACAATAATATAACGTATTTATATTTAAAAGGTCAATTTAATTGAATACTTATAGAAGTTAAATTTAATAATTATAGAATAGTATACAAGAATTGAAATAAAAGATACCATTTGTTTTGACTTTTAATTCTGCATTTTGTAATTTTTTGAGGGCATGTTTTATTACATGTTCTGTATCATTTTTTCCTGTGATTATAACATCGTCTAAATAAACTGCTGTATCTTTACAGTCAGCCAGTAAATCGTCCATATATCCTTGAAATATTATTGGTGCTATAGCTATACCAAAAAGTAATCGTAAATAGCGGTAGTATCCATTTGGTGTTATCATTGTTAATAATTCTTGTGATTCTTCGTCAATACTCATTCGTAGATATACGTCTTTTAGATCTAATGTTGTATACTTCCAAAAGCGATCTTTGCGATTAATTCTTCAAACGTTGGTAGAATGTGATAGTCTTTTAGTAAAAATTTATTTAATGCTACTTTGAAATCACCACATAATCGTAGTTCGCCTGAAGTTTTACGTACCACTACCATTAGAGTACTCCAGGTTACTCTTGTTGTTGATAGATCCATTTTCTTTATTATGTTCCAAACGTTTAAGCTCATTTTCAATTTCTACTTTTAAAGGCAACGGTACTCTTCTTGCTGGTTGAGCAATTGGTTCTGTATTTTCTTCTAATTGTAGTTTTAATGGTTCGACATTTTTTATTAATCCGAATTTATTTCAAACACCGTAGCAAATTCTTTATATAGTTTTTCAATATTCACGTTTCCATTATCATTATTATTATATTTATTGCTAATCATATTGACTTTTACCTTTATTGGTAACGATAGATCAAATTCTATAGTCCATGGAAATCCAAATCGTGTTCATGAATTTTTTAGAAGTTTATTAGAAAATATTTTAAATATTAAATTGGAAGATTTTAATTGGGGTTTCTTACAATTACCCTCGAAAATGAGTGGTTTAGATTTATATCCTTTAAATCTTATATCTCTTTCCTCATTTTTGGCATCGCGTTTGATGAATAACGCCATGATATCTTCTTTTATCTCTCCTAAATATTACCTTTTAAACTCAGCCTTGATGACAGCCTAGGTATCTTTAGCTCCACCTGAAGCTGTCTTGCCCACAATCTTAACACACCAATCTATTTTCGAACCTTTAATTAAAAAATTTTAAAATAATTTCATCAAACCCCCCTTTGGAGTATATTCAACTATTACAGAATGCTGACTGTACTAGTGGTTATGAATGGTTGGAAGCATTACCAAGTCGTAACCTAGGTAACCTCTTATCAGATGAACAATTAAGAGTTGCCATATACCATCGACTTGGATGTAACATTGTTAAACCGCATACATGCATCAAATGTAAAATATTAGTTGACTCCAAAGGAAGACATGGTCTAAATTGTATATATAGTCAAGGCAGGCATGCAAGGCATGCAAGGCATGCAAGGCAGGCAAGGCAGGCAACAACTAATTTAGCTATTACCCGTTCTCTTACCAGGACCCGAATACCAAACATCCTTGAGCCTACAAATTTATCATTAGATGATGGCTTAAGACCAGATGGCTTAACTTCCGTGCCTTGGTCTTTAGGGAAATCCTTAATTTGGGACTTCACATGCGTATCTTTTTTCCCAAAAAATTTAAATTCTAATCCGGTTGATATAGCCGAGAAAAAAAAACAATGAAATATTCCAAATTCACAAATTATATTTTTACACCGATCGTTATCTCTTCCCTTGAACATATGCCAAGCGTAACTCTAAAGTTCTTAAAAAATAAAGGCGATAAGACAAGAGCCCTTACATCAGAAAAGAATTCTATTTTTCAAAACAAAACCTACAAATCACTATTTTAAAATATATTACTCATGTTTTTGGGGAACTTGTAGTCCCACCTCCGTTTTTATATAATATTGTTATTTTATTTTATTATTAATTTAGTAATTTTATATATTTCTATATACCATTATACCATTATACTGTTTTAATATTTTAGTGCTCGAATCATAAACGTTTCAAATCTTTTTTTTTGCTAAATCGGAATACTAACAGCAATACATATTATTCCATATTGTTGCATTAATGATGGTTACTTCTGAACCTGTATCATATTCCATTTTAATTTCGTGGTTGTTTTTACCATAATCGTTGGGTGCTCTCCATATTTGCAGACTTTTCTTATTGAGAAATCTGAATCTTTGTTCTTTACTATTATAATTTATACCATAAACTTCCTCTAGTTTTACAAATTGCAATGTGGTTTAATTACTTACATTTGCTGCACCTTTTTCTATATGCTGGACACAATTTCGAATAGAATGAAAACGATTACAAAAATAGCACGGTTTTCTTGTATTAATATTATTATTTGTGTTGTGTAGTAGTTATTATAAACTTGAACTGATTTTATTTTTACATATGTTTTATTATCATTATCTATACTGTCGATTATTACTATCAATTTGATTTAATCGTTTATTATTATCATTATGTTTAGTCGTCTCTTTGATATTATAAACCATTTTAGTTATTTATTTCTAAGCCATTTCTATAACCTTATTTAAGCTTAACGGTTGCTCTTCGTCTCTAGTATCTGGATATATTAAACGTAGTTCTTTATCTAATTGCAACATCTTTAATCCAGCGATTAATTGATCACGAATTCATAGTTCTATATTATCTTCAAATTCACATCTACGGGCTAGTTCCTTTATATGTTTCAAATAACTCATTACTGATTCTGTTGGTCAGCGACTTAATCTAATAAAATTAATTCTTGATGCCAAGACAGTTCTTTCGTCTTTAAAAAGTTTTGCAATTTTGTATAAATCTTGCCCATACCACATCATCAATTTTCCTTGGAAATAGTCATTTTTTTATATCATTTATTTATTCCTCCATATGCTATGAATAATTTTTTCAAAGTTGCGTCTGTTTGAGGAATATTCTTTACATTCAAAATATATTTAATATAATCCAAATAATCATTTAGAGAAGTTTCTTCTTTGCGAAATTCATTTAATGTAATCTTTGAAATATCACCCATAATTAAAAATATATAATCCTATTTAATATTTAACTTGACCGAAGACCGCTTCTTTTTTTTATTTCGTCGCCAATTTCATATCTGAAATATATGGTCAAAACAAATGGTATCTTTTATTTCAATTCTTGGAGCAATTTAATTTATATATTAATTTTTATGGAAGATCTTGTATTTTGTAGGTAAGGCTAGCAGATCCCCGATATCAATGTGAAATATCTGTCTCAAATAATTAATAATTTGATTGCTTATAATTTTTTTAATGTAATATTCTCAAGAGTCTATATTAATTTTAATTGATTTTCTTAAATAAATTAATTAAAATTAATCTTAACCTCAATTTTTTAATGATAATGAATTTTATGCTTAATAAAAAGAGTGTTTATTTTACTATTTATATTAGAATCAATTATCATTATAATATGAGTGTCTTTTCTATATATCTACTTGTGTAAAAATTTAAATAGATGCCTGCATCAAAGCCTAATTTGGAGATGAATAAAGGTAGTAACATAACTCAATTTTCCCCATATGGCTATTGGAGTAGAGCTATACGGAAAACTGGGTATTATCAAATAATAATTATTTTTACTATAATAAATCTATGCCGAAATGAATTTTTAAAAAAAAAATTTGTAAAAAAATATAGCTGGTTAAATGTCAAACATTGGTTAACGAATAAAAAGAATAAATTGGATCTCGCAAGTAAAAGGTCATGGAAAAAGTATTGGGTGTGTCTCAAAGGACCAACTTTACTATTTTACGCTACATCGGATCAAGAAAATTCTCAAGCCAAAAAGGTCTTACATCACATGTTGATCATCGAAGGAGCCATAGTCCAAGCCGTTCCCGAACACCCTAAAAAAGAAAATTTATTTTGCTTGAGCATAAATTCCGGTGATGTTCTTATGTTCCAAGTACGCCATATTTCTATTATATATACTATCACAATTTAGTTTCTTCTGCTAAAAGCCACGTATATAAATAATCAAATTCTAGTGGTCATATATACGTAATCAATGTGCACCTACAAAGATATTAAGGGTAATTATGCTATACTGATTCTACCTAACAAGGTCAAAACCGGTATATAATTACGAAATTGTATCATGTGTCATGCATGCACTTAAAAATTTCTAATATCTTTATAAATATTAATTTAAGTGATAGTTATATAAAATATGTAAAAGGCAGGGGTTGACGTGATCCCTAAAAGTGGAGCCATAAAATTTAATAAAACATAATTACTATTCTAATATAACATATTTAAGATATAATCACAATAATTTTATGTAATTTTTAAACAATATAATTAAATTTTAGCAATATTAAATAATAGAGTTTATGTAAATAAAAATTTTAATGGTAATAATGATAATGAAATTAAAATATTATTTATATATGTTATATTATTTTTATTATTCATATTAAGTCAACAAAAAATTTATATACGAAAAATAAAATTCCAAATTAAATAATATAAAAGTGTAATATAGTGTAAAATGATAAGAATTAGAAAGAAAAAGTGAGTCTAGCATGGAAAGAATCTCATTGAAACTTTGATAATTCGCTGTAAGGATAGGTATATCTAGGCCTAAAACGAATTATTATTCGATTCGCTTCGATTCGTATTACGAATATGAATCACAATTATTCAATTCGAATCGAATCGAATATGAATAATGAGATAAAGTATTCGTCGAATATTAAATTTTTTATTATTCGATTAGAATTCGAAATTATTTATAATAGAATTCTTTGAACAATTACATACCTCATATAGCATAGCATAAAGAAAACAACTTCATTAGAAAATATGAATACAAAGTAATTATAATATTAATACTCACCTCAAAAAACAATAGTCCAGTCAAAAATGGATGAAATATTCAAACAGAATATCATCTCATCAATATGTGAGGTTGAAACATATTTTAATGAATTAAGAATAGCTTCTAGTAAGAGCCCATTAGAATGGTTGAGACCGTATAGTGATCATTTTCTCTTGTTGTCGAAAATGGCTATATATTGTCTATTCAGAGATCTTACTTAATGTAAGTGGTTATTCTCATTAAGGACAAATATGGAAATTAAGAATAGAAAGTCTTTGAAGGAAGAAACCATTAGAAAGACTTACTTGAAAAACTGGTTGTTGACAAATTCGGATCTAGCATAATCATATTTTTTCTGTATTATATTCTGATGTCTATAAAATTAGATCATTGTGCATTTTTAAAAATATTTGATAAAATTTTAGAATGTTAGATCAAAGAGATAACGTATTATAGAAAAAATTTATTATTTTTATAAGCAATTCTAATTCTAAAAAGTATTTTTGGCCAATTATTAGGATAACGTTATGAAATCATTGGTTTTATTTCGTTGTTATTTTTTGTAAATTTTGAAATGCTAATGACAATTAGTTTTAGTAGAATCCTTAAAGTGTCATTTTATAACATCCACATCTATTTATAATTTTTTTTGGCAAAATATAATCTATTTTTTATAAGCTTTAGAAAAATTTTAGAATCGAATCGAATAATGATTTTATTATTCGTACGGATAAGAATAATGAATTATTCGATTCGTTTTTTTGTAGGCCTAGCTATAGCCAGTCTTTATCTGAGGAATCGCGGATCGCCAGTATGCTTGGGGATGTGAGATCCAAAATCCTTGAAGATGATAATGCAAGTTAACCAAAGGAGGTTAAGGTAGTGAATATTATTGGGATAAAGATGTGATCTTCTGATATTTTCAAATATTTGGAAATTTTATGTTGTTCTTTTTGCTCAAGTAGGTTTGGAGTTTGGTTGGATAAAGCTAATGGATTGTTGCAAGAATAGCCCCAAACAAAAATTGGACCCGTTTCCATGGTATCATGGTGATTCCGTCAGGCCGTTTTCCATCGGATCTAAAAAGTCCTGGTCGTTCAAGTATAAAGGGTATTTGGGCAGATTTGAATGGTCGCTAAATCAAGGAATTGCATTGGACGTGCCTGAAAATTCGTCCTTTGCACTATCTTTAATGTAAGCTGTGTCTTCTTTTGCTGTTTATGGGGATTCTGCAGCAGAAGCGAGGAAAAGTTATTATACAATTTAGGCCGATTCCTATTGCCTGGGTTAGCTCATTGTTGGTTAGTTGAAGTTGAAGATTTTTTGGAAGAATGACTTCCATAAATTCATGCCCGTATCCATTAAATGAGAACGATCTGTTAAAAGCGTGCTCTAGCATGTCCCAATCCTTCTGTCTATGGATTCGGGCAATGGGACATTATCGACGCGTGTCCTCCATAGCAGGATAACATCATTTAAGAAAAAGTCATTTTGTGAAGTGCGGGATGTTATTGTGGGCTTCGAAAGTAAACTGCTTGAAATAAAGGTAGTGAGAGCAAGATTGTGGAGGATCTAATCCCTAATCATTACTTTTGGTGGGTAATGAAGCTTGAACCCATTTCAATGAATTTTAGAAAATATTATCGGTTAAATACTAAAAATAGGCTTTGAGAGCAGAGCATAAAGTTGCAATACGCCAATATAAAACAACTAGTTAATAACCCGTCAAGAATGACGGGGTTGAGGGGTAATTAGTTTGTGTTTATGGTATATGCTTTATTAATATATTTTATAAAAATATTAAAATTTAGGCGAAAAAGAGGGAATTTGTGAATCACACCTTATAAGATATTCTTCATTTTTGATTCATCTATCATCGAATAAGGGAGAAAAGTATGATGACCCATCTTTCTTGAAGGGCAAAATGAAAAATATATAACTAAGGTACCAGAGCTCCCTTTAGTCAGCATTGCTGAGTCCGTCAAAAATGAAGGGAAATGAGAATTTTCTCCTTACTCTTATGATAGTTGTTACCTATTATTTGAAAATAATATCCAATTTTTATTCTTAATAACCCCCTCCCACCTTCAGGTCAGGGTCCAATCCATTAAAACTAAGTTTAAATGCTATGTTTTGAGTCAAAATATTTTTAAAGCTTTTAATTGATACCCATATCAATATTATTTGTTAAAATATTACTGATCATCTATGCCTATTAGTTAATATTGAAAAAAATTCACAAGAAAGGTCCAAGGCCATGATGATTTTGAAAAACTTTCCCCAACGATTTTATGGGCCTTGGTTTATTTATTTTAGGTCAATGTGTGATCCATAGTTATTAATAAAAAATTCCCAAGCGTCCAAGCTGATAATAATTTGAAAAATTTTCCCCAAGCGTAGCCCAAAATAATTTACAAAAATATTTTCCAAGCCCAGCCTGACCCATTATAATTTTAAAAAATTTTTCTTAAACCTGGCCAATTTGAAATTTTTTTCAGGCTTAAATGAAAAAAATAAAATATTTTCCAAGCCCAGCCCGACCCATTATAATTTTAAAAAAATTTTTCTCACACCTGGCCAACCAATAATAATTTTGAAATTATTTTCCCAATCCTGGAGCTTCCAATAAAAAAGATAAATATTGATATATTTGAAAAAAATATTATAAAAATATTTTCAAGCCCAGCCCGACCCATTATAATTTTTAAAAAAATTTCTCAAACCTGGTCAACCAATAATAATTTTGAAATTATTTTCCCAATCTTGGAGCTTCCAATAAAAAAGATAAATTTTGATATATTTAAATTACTTTATCATAATATAGTTTCATATATAAGAACAATTGTATTACAAAATTTAATATAGAAGGGAGGTGACTGGAAAGAAAGTTTGTCTATCGAACGTTAAGTCAGTGTTTTGAATCTCGTTGATGTATAAAAAAAAAATTTTTTTAAGTTTATTTTTTAAAAAAAAATTATTTAATATTAGAGGTATATAGACTCCTTCGATTTATTTAACATTAAGATGATAAGAAAGTTGATACCAAAAATAAAAATAAAAATTAAGATGATAGGAAAGTTGATACCAAAAATAAAAATTAGCATTAAGGTTATACGAAAACGTTCATTTCTTGATTACGGCAATTATATATATTAGATATTAGATTAGTAGCCATTGTATTTTTTTATTAACGTTAATCCATAATAATTTTAATTATATTTTACCAAATTTGCCAATGTCAACAAATTCTTTGAATTTTAATTATTCAAGTAACTTATTTAAATTTACATTCAAAATCCTTTTTATTTCTATCATTTTTATCAAAACTGATAAAGGCTGGATCCTATCCTGAGTTAGAAAATTGGATTTCAGCTATCCATATATCCTGCGCCGCATCCTTAGCCAGGCATCACGGAAAAGAAAATATTATAAAAATCTTGACTCATGAAATTTTCAAATTGAATTACAATATCGAAATGGTATTCTCATTATTTTATTTCCTTGTATAAAATTAATGTATTTTCTATTATTTATACTAGAGCTTTAAATATGAAAATAATTAGAAATATACGATTGGATTTGAATAAAAATATATTTCAACTTTCGCTTATAATATACGACCATTTTAAGATTGGTTGTTTTACTTCCGTACAAAAGGCTCTTTGGCATTTCAAATATTTTCTTACCAAATTTTTTTTCGCCATAACTTTGTGCATTAAATAAGTTTATTATTTTAAATTCGAATTTATAGTATAGTCTTGATTTACATTCACTCAAGTGAATTCATTAATTTTTTTCTAGTGGGACATTTTCTCTTTGTAATTTCAAAAAAATTTCGCTTTTTGAATAGGAAATCTGTTATAGTTACGTTTCAGAAGATTTCAATTATATAAAAAAAATGCCAATTTTTAAAAAGATGCATAATCATTGTGGTTAGACACTCGATACTAACTTACGTAGATATTATTTATGTGTAGAATAAAATCTTATCAGCGAAAGTAATAACTTAAGAATAAAATAATATAAAATAATTTATTTATAAAGGATACAAGAATGAAAAATATGGGGGAAGCTCAATTAACAATAGTTTCTGATTCCAATAATAGACAAGCGATACTGAAGCAAATAAAGAAATGGGAGTTCAGGATTGAAGAGATGGCCTTGGAAAAATATAGATACCAAAGTTATAAAGCTTCCCTTCTAAATTCCGAGCTTCCAAATCCCAAAGTAAAAAATAGTTGTATATTTTTATTCTTTTAACTTTTTATGATTTCATTTGGAATAACTGAATAATAAATATGATTGTTTTTCGAAATTGAATGATGATGTCCAATTCACTGGCCGCATTGAGCAACTAAATATACTGTAGTAAAAAATATGAGTCATACTCATTCAAAATGGATGCTTAATAGTGGTGTAAACTTTAATTCAAAAAAAGAGTTACTTAAAAAAATATTAAATATTATTATAATTTTTCTCTTATTTATTTTTTTTCCCATAGATAATAAAATTATACAAAAATAATATATTATAAAATAAGGTGTTGTATAATTTTTTATTTATTAGCAATTGATTTTCAAAATTTTGATCAGATAAACAAGAGCACTTAGCCAACAAACTATGCGAAACACAAGTTTAACTGGCGCAGAGGATGGAGAGTTTTATTATATTTAATAAATAAAAATATTAATTGAAGGAATTTATAAAAAATTTTTAAAGAATGATCTCTATTTTCAAAAAAATTCAAATCAATTTTTTATTATCTTTATCACAATTTAAACTTTTATATGTTTTTTTGGATATGAGCTGTTGAACATTAAGACTTATATATTTAAATTATGGTAAAATCTACACTTACAAAGTCTAGACTTAGTCTCAAAATCAATTCACTAAAGAGACTAACTATTCCTTTTTATACGACAAAAAATTAACTTGAAATATTCCAATACTACTACAACTCCTTTCTGGGAACGCAAATAGGTCGATATTTTTAATTAAATAACTTATATTATTTATATATTTTTATAGCATTTTAAATAAATAAAAATAAATAAAGAGTGATAAAAAATATTAATAATACGAGAAAAAAAATCAACAACAAAATGTAATAAATAAAATAAAAATGAAAAACTTTGGTGGCTGATCTGAATTAAAAACTCGGCTTAATTATTTAAAAAGATATATTTTATAATAAAACATAATTTTTCCATTTTAAAATTTTTTTAGTAACCTTTTGTGTTACCGTTGCTCAAAAAAAAAAGAAACGTGTTACTCGTTACCTTTAAAAACAACTATTTTTTAAGACAAAAATACTCTTTCGAATATTTTTTAAAAAAATGCGATGTATTCAAACTTGGTCGGAGTTCCTAGATTTTTTACAAAAATTGCTGGAGCAATTTAACTCAATACCGCTGAAGCTATACAGCAAGGATTAAATGGGAAATTGTGAAGCGAGAATTTCCCGAGGCAACGACCCCACAAAATATTTTAACCTGACTTGGAATCTACCACTAAAACCTATTATTTCTGCCGAAAGAGATGACACCATTTTGGATGACCTTATTCGTGATGATGCCCAAGCTGACGTGAGTCTTGGAACAGCTGATGAATCTATAGCCGACTTATTATTTAATTATGAACAGATACTTCTATCATAAGGGTGGGGGGGGGTATGACCCAAGATTGTTATTAAAATATTATAAGAGCGGAAGAGAGAGAGGAGGAAATAGGGATGGATGATATATGGTTTGCATAGCTAATTTGAATGATTTAGATTTTATTTTTGCTAAAGAATATTTAGAGGGTATGGGGTCAAAAATTTTTTCAGGAGGGTAGATGGCAAAGAAGGGGTTAAATTTTTTTAGGAAAGTAAATTGGCTTTGGCCTATATCCCAATAGACAAAAAAAGTGGAAAAAATTGTAAAATATTATAACTGCATCTCATATAATTTCTTATCATTAAAATGTAAAACAGTTTTAAAAAAAAGGATTGGAAGTGTGCTACCTAAATTAGAATAACAGTTAAAAGCGTGAAGATTTGTTATAATGCACTAATTGTCCTGAATGGGCATACTCTATTTTTCCAGTAATGAGCTATTTTATGTATGCCTTAATTATGAAGACTATTTTTTTTAAATATTTATAATTTGTTTTAATTATAACAATGAAAATGATGTTTTGTGTGTTAAATTTGGATATTTGTTATTTTATCTAAAGGGCTTGCCTTCTTACCCAGGGTGGTTGGTAAATAGTAAAAACCACAGCTTTTGCTTTAGAAGGTAGAAAACCGCGTTTTATTTTATTTTGTAGTTAAATGATGATGCTATCCAATGATACAATTGATTTAATCTTATAAAATAAAATTATATTGTTAACGCGCAACATTTACCAGATAACCACGTTCTTAATTCTAAAAGGCCTGCAATAAGTTGGTTTTAAGCCCTCCATTACAATTTAAGAAGGAAAGCTACCCCCAAAGTACCTCTCGGGGAAAATATTCGCTACGCCTATGAACATGACTATTTAAGTGTATATATTTAAAGTTCATTGTCAAAATCAATTTAATGCCTATGTCGGAATAGATTTGGTCATGCGAATTTTTATATTTCAACTTTTGTAAAAGAAATATATTAAGTTTAAGCACTTAAATAACATATCAGAAATTATTAAATTACCAATCTGTTACAGAAGCGGCTATACATTTTTTGAGTAGCAGTCGGTAGCGAGGCCACTTACAAAATAGTAACTAATTAATAGGCCCATTAATTTTTTAAAGTTTGAGTAGCTAAAACGCGCTATTTATTTAGCTACCTCAAAAAAAATTAATCAAAATTTTAAAATGATGAATATAAATTATTTTATAATTTGAATAAATAAAATGGTTAAAATTAGACAGGAATGCTATAATAAAATATACGCTAATCCTTAAATTGAATCACAAGCTGTTTCACCATAGTTTCAACATTAAAAACAAAATCACCTAACAAATGAGAACATTTCGCGTTATAAGCATCTTCTGATGATATTTTTGATGAGGATAATAATATCAAAATATAATTATAAATAATGATTATATAAGGAATTTATGTGATATCATCAATTTCAGAACTTGTATAAAGAGTTTTCGCCTTTAAAACCCCCATTTTTATAAAATATACAATCTCTCTCTCATCCAGTTATTCCGTTGAGACTTCCCCATTTAGAGAAGGTTGTTTTTAGCGGGAAAATGTGTTCATAAATAAAAACTTCGAGCGATATTTTCTCTTAAAAGCCAAATACAAAATGAACTAATTAAAATTAAATATAAAATTTAATATTTTAATATGAAATTTTTTATTATGTGTAAAATTAATGTTTATATTTTAAATTTTAATAGAGATCTATTTTATACTATTATTTAAATAAAATAGATATAGATGGGACTGCAATATATATTAGCTCCTAAGAAAAAAAAAATTAGGCATAATTTTTTAAAGTAGCAACGATACATATTAGAAATGATAGCTTCACTCACTATTTTGCTGTTGTTGAGTAGGTAGGCTATTTTGTGGGGAGAAAGTAGTTGTCGCTATAGCGTGCTATTTTTTAAAATGTTGACAGCATTTAAATTAGATATGATTATGCATCTTCGAATAAAAATATGACTAATATATTACATAATTTTTTTAAATTAATTATCCTCGAAATTTAAAAGTCATTGATGGTTTATAGTTCGAAATCTATGAAATCGTATCTATCTAAAATGAATATCTCCAACACGGTATCCTCCTTCCACGCCCACGTTTCCATCCGAATGCAATCCTATAATTGTTCAACAAATGATTACAACAGGAAGTTGGGAGCGTATTTTTCAACGTCTACCACTTTCATGGACGCCAAATCGAATGAGTCCAACTCCGATGTCGAAAAAAATTTAAAACGAATAATGTCACCTGGCTCGTCTAAAGCTCACTTTAAAAATTCTCTCTCGAATCATATTTCGCAATCTCATCACAATATCAAGGAATATTTGTCCCAACCGAACACCCCGACCAAGTTTCAAAATTATTTTTAAAAAATTTTGATCGGTTGTCGTTTACTATGTTTAACATTATACTAATGTATTTTTTAATTTAAAAGAGGAAGAAAGGTCCCCCAAAGGTTAAGATTATGCTACTAACTTATTTTCAACTAAAAATGGAATTAAAATCCTATGATAATAATTAATTCTTAATATTTTTATTATAGGGAACCTAATATAATTCTTTTTAGAAACATGCCGTAAGGGAAACAAATTGCTGGGATAATTTAGAATTTAAGAGAATTGTGCTGAATAGTGTTATTACGATTACGATTACGATTATAGTAATCTTATTATATATTTAAATTTAATTCATAAAAGTGGTCCTAAAAACTCAAAGAAATCTGTAGAGAATTTAATGAATTCTTGCGTAAACTCGTTACTGGATAGCAATGTAGATGAAAACGTTATTGTTACACCAAACGGGACTGTGAATTTTGAGGATAAAGTCATTAAGATCAATTTACCGAGAAACGAAGTAAAAATATTAACTTAATAGAATAATTTTTTTTTAAACATAAGTTTTACTTAAATGTGTCATCTCTGCCTTTTAAACGGATGTGGCTTTTTCCCTCAAAATTTAATTATAGTCATTATTTAAAATAATTATTAATTTCTACTCCTTTTTTAGAGAATATTGACAATACTGTATTCATTTTAAGAGATGAAGGAGGACGAGAAGTGTAGAAGGAAATCTTTTATTAGCTTAAAGTTATATTTACAAAAACTGGTAAATTTTCTAAGATAGGGAAAATATTCTGCTTATCTACTCCCCTGAATTCGTCAATTATATATACTAGAACTCTACATCGAACCTATTTTTTTAGATCTTTATAATTTCGAAGACTTTATTATGTGAATATTATTATAAACTGTTTTTTTTCATATAATTTTATGATAAATACAATCTTGCATGCTATTATCATTGGATTCTTTAGGAAAATATTCCACGAATTTGAGACAGTTGAATATTTATATATCTCAACAACAGCATATTTGTGTTTAAAATTGGTTTAACCTTTTGAGAATGTATTTTTATATACAGGTACTTCTATGTCCCATAAGCCTATGACAATAATATTACCTTCCCCTCTCTTTTTCTAATTCCTTCTAACTTTTATTATATTATATAAAAAAGAAATTAGTTATGTCACTGAATGAACGTATGACTATTGAAGACCTTCTTCTCACTGTATGTTACAAAATACGATACAACCCGAGTGAATATTTTTTTAAATTCAAGCACGCATCACCAAATGGGAAATACACGGTGCCCGATCTCCACACATATGTTCATGAAAATGTAAATAATTTTAATTATTATATACAAGGATAGACGTTCTCATTCATTTATAATATTAAACTTGTTTAAAAAAGACAGAGGATGAGGGAGGGGGTGGGTGTGACTTCAAAATCTCATATTATAAGTTTCCAAACTTGCATATTTTTGACGTACATATAACATTTTTAAATTCATTATATCTTGATGAAACTTGAATCTGTTATTAAATAAACAGATTTAATATTAATAGTAGAGATCTGCAAAAGCCATTTTTTTTAAAAAAAAATCGGGTTCGGGCCGGGCCGCCAAAACTTTTTAAAAAAAATTTGGGGTTCGGGTCGGGTAAAACTGTTTTGAAAAATATTCAGGCCGGGCTTGAAAAATTAGGCCCGATGCAGATCACTAATTAATAGTACCTATAGATAGTATAATAATAATATATTGTCATAAAAAATAGACATTATTATTTATTTCCACAACTTTATTTGTTAATTAGTATCTTAAGATAATATATAAGGTGGTAGATTATCAATAAAATATTTAATAAAAGGGAACTAATTGCCTGTTTATGTTTAGTCAATTATAGGAATAGATTTATGCCCGAAAAGTGTCTTTAACGTTGAGCTTCTCCGCTCCTCAACAATGCAAAAATTTGGATTCAGTATACAAGCCGAAATTTGTTCGAAAATACACAAACCTGATGAACTAGTCGTTTATATCGCTGAGGTCAATAAAGATAGTATCGGTTATCAAAAAGGTTAGATTTTCTATTACACGACATTTCTTTAAAAAAATTCTATGTAATTTCTTTAAAAAAGCATTCCCAGTAAAATTGCATAGAATTCACTGACGGTTCTTCATTTATGTTTACTTTATGTAGACCACCAGGTAGTAAGATTTTTTAATTGATAGAGTTATTTAGAAAATTCAATTGATAGGTTATATATTTTATAGAAGACATATATATATATTGTATATTATGTGTGATTGATTTCTGTTTTCATTTACACAAGGGAGAAAGTCACAAATACTCTCATCTCATAATTAATCATTTAAATTTTTTTGGAAATATTTTATAAAATTTTCCTGGTCTTCTAAGAATAGTCACAACCAATTAGCTTCTAATAAATTTATTCAACCACCGAAGTTCTTGCTTGGTTTTTCTATTCTTAAATTTTAAACATTTATATATTTTTTACCAACCAAGAAGGCTTATTGTAAACGGAGGTCACTTTTTTTAATTTTTCGTGAGAGCCCATAATGTATAAGAAATATGTAAGGTATCTTAACTAGATTACGTCTAAACAGAGATGGGCAGTATGACGTTTACTTATATCTACAATAATAGATCCTTTTGCACCTTGTACTTAGTATCTTTTTGATCATTTTAATAAGATACTTAAATCTGTAGAATCTTACTTTTGTTCATTTCCTTTATAAAAATACTTTGTATATTTTTGCTTAAAAAATTTAATATTCATTTTTAACATTTTTTTCGTGGATTCTTACATTATTTGCATTGTTTTTCTTTTTTTCCTATCTCTATATTTTAAAATATTTTATACTTTTTTGTTGTGTGTAAATTAGATAAATCAATTTTATGATTGTTCCATATATTAATTAATCATTGTATTAAAATAATAATCATTTATTAAATTAATCATCATTGTATTAAAATAATAATCATTGTATTTTATAGGGTGGAATATTTATTTAAATTTCATCCAATTTTGGATTGCCCTTTGGATAAAAATATAAATATTTGTGGTATTTCGATTTTTTGATTATTCATTTAAAGCAAATTATAATGGTGTCTATTCTGAGACTGGGGATAAGTAGCCATATATTTGCTAGAGGCAGCTAACAGATTTAAAAGCTGCTTATATAATTAAATAAATTTTTATATATGTGTAGCCCAAAACATTAATCTACAAAATAAAATTAAATTCAAAGCTAATCTCTAACAGTTTTTTAGCCAATCCTTTTGAGTGAAAGTCGCTATGGCCAGTCAACACCAGTGTCTGCTTGGCCGTTTGATTGGCCACACTATTTTACAATTTATCTTTAAATATGAACTATAAAGAATAATATATTCATAGACTTATCCAACCAAGCAAACTATTATTTTTATCTGAACCCGAGTTCCAAACGATAACGAGAGTTGCTTTTGTTCAGGCCCGTGGTTTTAAATTAATAATGTGTTATTTTATAAATTTAAATTATAATTATACAAATATTTTATATTTGGTGCTCGGTACTAAAAACATTTTGGAATTTTTTTTTTATTATATCGAATATGTCATAGCTATGCATTTTTGACAAAATTTTTAGACACAATAGCCCAATAGGGGATGGCCAGTCAACCCCGAGGGCGACTTATCTACAGCCTCTCTTAATTTGATATCATATAAATATTATGTGTTTGCTTTGCTGTGTTTTAGACGGTTTAAAAATATCCATACAGAATTTGAAAATTTTTGGTATAGTGCCTCTGGAAGACGAAACTACAGAATTTGGTGTCATTTACTTAAAATTTACTTTACAGCTTGTTGAAACAGTCAACATGAAATATGGTTCTCAAAATTACTTCTGTTATTGATATATTTCTTTCAATTCCTATTGTTGGGTTACACACAGTTCCTTATAGAAGCTGGGTGAGAAAGATGATATCAATTTTTAGTGAACCACGGGTTGGACAGTTTTTCTTAATTTTTTCTTGATTTCAGTCTATTTTGCGGAAATAATGGAATCTTTTTTTATAAAAAGTATTTTCTTTTTAAGATACTCTGATTTAATAAGATGTGCAATTTTATAACTTGTATTTTTGTGATATTTTTAATAAGATACTTCTATGTAACTAAGGCAAACATATATTATTTAATTTGTATATATATGCCGCTAGATAATTTTCAAGAATCTGTCCAACTTTACTAATATAAAGGGATGGACAATTTTTTTAAAGTGTATAGATACCGATATAATTACTTTTTAATATAAATAAATACAGATATGATACTTTTTCAGAATATTTAATAAGATACAAGATATGGATGCTTGATAAAAAATTGAAAAAGGTAGCTGTAGATCCAGTTACTTCAAATAATAGTTAAAAAAATTGACATGATGGGAAACCTTATATTTTTGGGCATTGTGTAAAAATTATGGTATAAGGCTAAACAAAACACTTTATTTATTTATATTCATTTCATTTAATATATTTTTATATAGGGTATAATGTAGTACATTACAATTATTATTTTATATGAAAAAATTTTGTCAGTAAATTTTGTAAAAGTAATGTATTAGGACAATATGTTAACTCTATAAAAAAAAAATATTAAAACGACATTGAAATTTTGTAAGTTATTATTTTTATTAATTTCTCAAATAATTTATCTGACAATCTATGCATGTTTGTTCTATTTACAAGATTTGTAAATCTAAATAGCCGTTTAACTGGGGCTGAAGTGGGAAAAATAAGCTATATTAAAAAATTTCTTTAATGTGCTTATATTTATGTAAGTTTCTGGTATCAAGATAACCGTCTTTAATATAATTAAATATTTCAAGTTTAATTTAAGTAGCCTCATTATTTTTAGAAGGTGTAATATTTATAACAAAAATAATAATCCTTTTCAATGAAAGAGGATGAATTTGTAGACTGGTCAAATGCATTATCCCTGTCCTTAAAAATAACACGTGCTTCATCAAGCAATTTTGCAAATATTTTTTTTACCATAATCAACCCATCTAATTTGAAAATGAGGATTCAAAATGGTGGCGAAAAAAGCCATTTCATTTTCATAATTAAAATTAAAAATATTTCCAAATCTCTTATTAACAAATTTCAAAGGCTTTATCAAGTGGTAGGCAAAAACGTTAGTCGGTTTGAAATAAATCATGTATACTTCTTTTTATAACAAATGAAATTGGGACCCAATCTTTTATGCCCTTGCCCTCAATACAACTAAACAACCCATATTCACCATTCCCAATTATTCTCTGATGTGCTTACTGGTCAAACAGTCCCTATCTCTATTGGCGCAAATGTTTTTTTTGATATTTGATCCCACCTACTCTGCAGATGTAGAAATATTTTTTAGCACCAAAACCATTTGTCATTTCACGAAAGGGCAAAGCTTCAAGTTGCCAAACACCTGTCCAAAAACTTGAATTCCTTGTTAAATAATTATTCTTCTGTAAAACACTAGCTAGACTTTCTGTCAGCCTTTACTACCCTACAAATCCCCGATCCTACCAGCAAAAATCCCTGACACAGCATATTGAGGAGCCACTATCTACCCATTACCCATTAATCACACATCTTAAGAGTGATAACATGGAAACAATAAGAATCACAATAATGACCTGCTCACCAAGACCAGATTTATATCTAAAAACCAGATAACCTGGATGTTAAATCCGCCATACGTCGCAACTTTTGACAACGGTTAAGTAACTTATCAAGCTCTTCTCCTAAAACACCGTTCACGTAATCTTAAGGATACCGGCTTGTCCTAATGCTCCTCTAAACCATAAGCGACGTTAGAAAGTCTATTCTATCCTTCAAACGCGATTCCTCCCCTAAGTTTGATGGGTTTGGTCCAATATTCTTACAAGATCTAACCACACCTTATATCACACAACAATGCGACGTTTTAATAAAAACCACCTCATCAACTATATGCTTACTGGAGGCATACCACCTGCCATTGTTTCATTCCATACAGACCTGAACTCATACTCTGTAAACCTAATAAATGAATTCACCCTATCATACTTGGAACCACTTGGCGCCGATTAACCACCAAGCTAGTAGTAAGCAGAATATTGTTCACGATATCCAGTCACCTGTGCCTGAATCAATTAGGGGACAATGTAAAAGTTGGTTGTGAGAAATCCCTTCCCATTACCCGGATGTATTTAAAATAGACCCCTGACGATATCCTGGTTAAAATAGACTTTTCGAACCCCTTTAGCTTTCTATGGCGTAGCGCGTTTCTAGATTCTATCCCCACCCTCTACCCTGAATATTCCCAATTTATCTTTGATTGCTATGCTAATCACTCCCACCTTCAATTTGGAGATAGGCTGATTCCTTTTAGCGATGGAATACCACAAGATGACCCTCTAGGTTCCTTTTTGTTCTGTCTGGACATTAATAGCCTGATACTAAACATAAATGACCAATGCAAACTTAATCCTCATAATTGGTATATCGACGAATTGTCCCCTTAGGATCATTGACCTTAACCATGAATTTATGTTCAATCATACGCCAACGAACTCCTTGACACATCTTATATCTCCAGTAGGTAAAGACGAGTCTTCATAAATTTCTTGCCGTATTTTATGGGAGACATCCCTAATGCTCGATACACTATCGCGCCTCCCAGCCCACCAAGTTTTCTTCCTATTGAAGAATTACCTTATAATTTCGAGGATTGATTTTATATACACCCCGATCGTCACGAATCTTCCAATACCATGTCATTCTTGCCACGCATGGACTTGAGATTAAAAGTCTCACATACTTAATCTTAAATTTGGAGATCTATCTTGGTTACAGGTTACCTTACAAATCATTCCGGTGGCATTGGTATAAGGTTGCCCTCGCTACTTTCCGTTAGCGCGCTCATATTCTCTCACCTATCATGGGAGAACCCATCATACATACACTCATAAAATATCTTGACCCTTTGTTTCTGCAGGCATTTGATCTCTAGAAATTTATCTCAATCAGCGTATACATGACAG